TTTGGTCTGACATGTTTCTTTGTATCATGTAAATATTAATTGTCCTATTTTAAATATATATTTCAGTTAACTGTCAATCACTCTACAAACCTACAATCTAGTTTTACTTCACCAAATTTTGTGGTGAATTGTTCAATGAATTTTGAATGATATTTGAAAATGAACAATAGAAATATAGTTGCTTTAATATCCAACACGTCTAGAGATATGTCAATTTGACAAATTTTAGGTCAAAACGATGTATTTACATAATAAACAAGAAATATTTCCTATAAAAAACGGCGCAACATCTTTACCTACATTAAATGCTTTACTTTCACCTAGCGTGCTATTCTGGGGCACTTTTATCTATAAATGAGATAATTCCCCTGAAGGGTTACTATATCGACGAAAACACTCACACATTTTTGTACACATTTTTCGCTGATTTTTGTCAATCATGGAACACTGTAGCAACACCAGTTCAGATGGCCAATGGGACATGATGTACTTAACTTTATTATTCACTATTTTAAGTCTGTTATCTTTGTTAGCAAACTTGCTTGTTATCTTTTTGTTTGCAACAAATGCAAGACTGCGAAGAACTAAGAATGTTTTCATCGGTCTATTGGCGATTATTGATGCAACTGCAAGCACACTAATGATTCCGACATCACTGATTTATACTTTTGAGGAAAATACATTGAGGGCCATGATATCGGATAGTTCAGAAGGACTTCTGTTATCATCAACATTGGCCATCGCTGCTGTCGTTGTTGACCGTTCAATTGCGCTGATTTGGGCACCACTACGGTATAACCTCCTTGTTACAACTCAGCGTTACATCATCGTATCTGTCTTAATTGCAGTTTTACCAATCATTTATATGCTGACTCTTTACAGTGTTGTTCCTGAGGACCTTGTCTTCTTTCTTTATTCTAGCACTATTCTACTGACAATGTTAATCACTATATATTTGTATATCAATATCTATAAAAAGCTTCAGCAAAATCGTTCCAATGTTCATACAACTACCAATGAAATTGAAGAATTTAAAAAATTATTCAAAACTTTTAGTATTATCATTGGAATTTTTGTAATAACATGGGGACCAAATACAGTTTTGAATATAGTAGGCTATTTCATTGACTGTTCCAAAGTTCAAATAGACTTGGAACTCATTATTGAAATAAGTTATCAATTTCTTATTGTTAACTCACTTGCAAATCCTATCATCTACTGGCTTCACCTTGCAGATTTTCGCAGAGCATTGAGAAGTCTACTGAGGAAAAAAAGTCATCCTAAAAATGTAAGCATCGAATCTGTTTTATGAATGAATGAAAATGAATTGGATAATTGCACATACACACTGAAGCAGTCAATTACAGTCAAAATCGACAAAAATGTCCGTTACGTTGTTTTGCCTCGGGACAGCCGAGCAAAAATGCATCAATTGGGAGAACCCTGAGTAGTTATGGTGCCACCTACTAGTTTGTTCGAATATGACTAAACAAAAACTAGAGACCACTGATAACGGATATTTGAGCTATAAATCTGACAGTAATTCAAGTAATTTCATGTAGTAATATTTAAGAGACACTGGGTTTTTATGTTTGATTACTTATTTAAACCTGTCATATATTTACTGTACAGTAGTAAAAACAAAGGGTTTAATTTTTATTAAAAATTTGAGAAATTGTTTGAATGTAGGTTTAGTTATATAGAAGAGATGTGGAATCGGTTTGACAGCAAAATGAAATTTATTATCTTACTTTTGTTAAACTCAGAAAATTAAAAATATAATACATAAATACAAAGAAGTATTAACTAAGAGATAAATTGATATTTAAACTCAAGACTTTCATTATACTGTATTTTACTAAATCAGTCAACCACTTTTCTTTTTGTGTTGAATGGGATATCAGTGGACTAATAATATTGATGATGAAACATTACGATTTTGATGTTAATTGTGATGATGAAAATGATGGAAAGTTGCTGATGAAGATGATGATGAAAAGGTTATTATTGTTGTTGATGATGATGATGATGATGATGATGATGATGATGATGATGATGAAAAAGTTAATGATGATAAATTTGATGATGAGAAAGTGGGTGATGATGACAAATTTGAAAATAACAATGGTGATAAGAAACTTAAAAATGATGATGAAATGATGCTGATGATAAGAATGGTGATGATAAGTAACTAAATAATCAATGATGATGTAGATGAAGATGAAATTATACTGATAAGAATAGTGAAGAGAAGTAACTAATAATGCCAATGTCGATGTACATTATGATGAAATGATGTTGATAACAGTGATGATAAGTAACTTCATATTATTGATAATAAAGGTTATATAGCGCATATTGTTAAGCCCTCTATGCACTTCACATTATCATTAGCCCGGTCATTGGATTAAAAGCCTATGGAACACAAACTCAAGCTCCCCGGGGTAGTATTACATAAGGTTGCAGCAGCTACATCATCGCATTTAACACTACCAGTTACCCACTTATACTCTTGGATGGAGAGAAGCAATGCAGATAAAGGTAAAAGTGTCTTGCCCAAGGACACAAGCGAAATGCACAGCGAGGGATTGAAACCCAGAACTTATGAGTTTGGAAAACCAAACCGTTCCCACTGCGCCAAACCACTTCCACTTACTGTAATACCAATGATGATGTAGATAATGATAAAATGATCCTGATGATAACAATGGTGATGATAAGTAACTCAATCTGTGATCATGCAGATGAAGATTAAATGATGCTGATGACAACAATGGTGATGACAATACCAATGATGACATAGATGATGATAAAATGATGCTGATAACAACAGTGATGGAAAAGAGCTTTTTCATTTCTCTTTTGGAAAAAGAGCTTTTTCATGTGCTGCACCTCGTCTGTGGAATCAGGGGTGGATCCAGAAATGTCCAAAAGCAGGGGCCGAAAGGGGGTCCAAAAGTTGGGCCGATCGAGACAACACATTTTTGTGTTCTAGACGCCAGAACATGACATTTGAGGCATTCTGGGCTATCATTTTTTTTCTTTTTCTCTCCTTTTTTCTTTTTTTTACTTCCCAAAAGGGGGACCGAAGCCGGGCTGCAACCCCCCACCCCAAATCCTCCCCTGGTAATTCTCTTCCTCAAGATTTAAGGATGTTCCAATCTGTTGACATTTTCAAGAGAAGGCTAAAGAGTTTGCTGTTCGAGTGCCTTTGAACATTTTCGATGGATTCTGGTGCTATATAAATTCAATAATTGATTGATGATGGCAGCAAAGATGATCACAGAGTGACAATAGCAGCTATGACACTGAAAGCGACAGGGATTAAGATGATGAGGCAATTAGTACCTTCCAATCCATGTTCATAACAAGTGTGTTATATAAACACAGCCTATTGTACATTGCTAAAACATTTGACAAGCACACTGATATTTGACATGATATTTTCATTTCAAATTTCCAAGTAAAAACATCAACGTCAATCAACCAATCTGTCAATTAAGAGTAGAATTAAGAATAACAAAGCTAAGACCAGCGCTTAATAAAAATGAAAACCACAAATTAATGTGAACAAAAGTGACAGTTATTGACAGGACAACTTGATGGGATCGGAATAAAAATCAATAGTGTATGAAGGCAAGAGAAGGTGTAATTATTTTCCAGTGGCTGTTTACTGTACATCAATTTTTATAACAAGTAGAATTTACAATACTTGTAATCTTAAACCTTAAAAAATATAATTTCAAAAACCTTCAAATATGGATAATTGTACAAGTACATACAAGAGCTTGGACACCAAGCAGCTGTCTGACTTCAACAAGGTAAACATAGTAGTAGCTATATCTGTACCATTTTCATATTTAACAAATATGTTTGTGGTATTTTTGATATTGATGAAAAGTAAACTGCAGAAAACCAAAAATATATAGCATGTATTGGTGATGGACTTTTACTGGCATCAACATTGACCATTGTTGCTATTGCTGTTGACCGTTCAATTGCACTGATTTGGACACCACTTCGGTATCACGTCATTGTTACAACTCAGCGTTACATCTTCGCATCTGCCCTAATTGTGACAATACCATTTATGTTTCTAGTAATTTTAAACTATGCAGCTAACACCTTTACTATTTGATATATTCTGGCACTACATTAAAAACAATACTAATCATTATATTCGTGTGTTTTAACATTTATAAAAAGCTTTAACAAAATCTTTCTACAGATAATGTTCCTGGGGCTGCCAATGAAATTGAAGAATTTAACAAATTATTCAAAACTTTCAGTATTATCATTGGAATCTTTGTAATATCATGGGCCCGAATACACAATTTAATCTAATAGTTTTTTTCTTTGAATGTCCTACAGTTCCACGTATTATTATGAATTTAAATACAATGTCCTATGCTTTTGTTGTTGTAAACTTGCAAATCCGATTATATATTGGTTTCACCTCTCAGATTTTCGCAAACCGTGTAAGGACCTACTATACCAAGGTCGTAATTGTTGAATCCATCCCAAATTCATGGAATTCAGCTGTGACTATCAGTGTGATAAATTAATATAGTATTCTTGTCTGACATTGTATTTAATGCTATGGCATTTAATTTTTTTCTATTTTTGTTAAGCTTGTTGACAGAATTCAAATGCAAGATCTTGTATTTCAAGTTTTAAGTCGATTAAACATTACTATTTATTATAGTGTCTTATAAACAAGCAATTTCTATAGGGCTCTGGTTGATTGTAAATGACATCAATTTTTATTGCAATTGATTTTTGTAAGTCATTGATTTTAGCGTTTAATTTGCAGTAGAATAGACCATATCAGACTGTGATATGGTATAGTGTGTCTTATGTAAACAAGCAAGATATTAAATGATATTAAAGATGATTCTTTAAATGACAGACCCAAAGAAAGCTTATGATACCTCCATTATTTATGTTTACAATCCATTATGCAATAAAATAGACAATGCCAGACACCATTACTAATTCTTTAGTACAAATTTGATGAAAATGATAGTGTATAGTTTAATTTCTGGCAGTTAACATGTTATTAATTTTCAGAAAAGCAGTGGTATATCAAATCTAGTTTAACATGGCAAGGAATAATTCAGACGTGGTGTTAAACGCCTCGATATATGCTTTAGACACTTTATGTGCCTTGACGTTCCTCACCAACTTGTTGGTATTCATTGTTCTGATTACAGACACTAAACTCCACAAGAAACAAAACGCTTTCATTGGACTGTTATCACTAGCGGACATGTCTTACAGCATCTCAACCTTTCTGGCAATTCACAAAAACCCGGTAGGTTCTGGGTACCGTGGTGTTTTATGGAGCATTGCTGATGGAGCACTGCTGACATCTGTTTTGGCACTTGCTGCAATCGCGATTGATCGTTATATTGCTTTGATTTGGGCTCCATTTCGCTACAATATCATTGTTACTCCAAAGCGTTGTGTTACTGTCTGCCTTCTACTTGTATTTGGTCCATTTGTCTTGTTTAGTATAATCTATGCTTTCTTTGATAACACCACAGCCAATGTCACTATAACCTGTGTAACCGCTGCTATAATTATTATGAACACTTGCATTTATCGAAATATCTATAAACAATTGCAACGGAAACAAGTAGGCATTCCAGTAATGCAACAAGACTTAGAAGAATCCAAGAAGTTGCTTATGACATTCACAATCATAGTTGGTATATTCATTATAACTTGGACTCCATTAATAATTCTAACACTTACCACTGGTGTATTAGGCCTATTTGGAAATGGTAGAAGTTATTTCTTAATGATGATCATTGGATATGAAATAGGCATGGTCAATTCTTTAGCTAACCCAATAATTTACTGGTTCAGAATGCCCACTTTCCGTAGGGCAGCTCTGAAACTTGTTTGTTCTTAGACTTTTGAATACAATAATAAGCAATTAGTAAAGCTCCGCATAGTACACTATAGGAAAATTATTGTATGAAGGTTAGATTTAATGCTTGAAAAAATTGACTGAGGGCCTGCAAGGCCGAAAGAAATTTTTGAATGCATTAAAGCTAACCTAAGTATAACAATTTTCCGTTTAGTGTACGATGCATGCTCTACTAATTGCTTTATAAGTCAATCGACGTCTTTTAATTTTAGTTTTTTATAACCAACTGTTGTAGCGGCCATCGGTTGCTATAGTGATATGATCAGTATACGTGTGCGTATTTACATTTAGCTGTGCTTATACTGATTTTTGCTCCTGCATTACGCGTTTAACTCATCTAACATCATCAATACAGTACGGATAGAATGAATAACTATTGTTAGAAAGAACTTGTTTGTAATGCTATATTGATAGACTTTCATCAAAGAAATAAACATTTCAGCATTCGAGAGGGAATACAGTCACTGACGTCCTTTTTGGTCGGTGCATGCAGGCAGGTAAAATCGTGTGAGGATTTCATAACTAGGCCAGGCTAGGCCTATGCCTAGTAATAGTAGGAGGCCCGGGCTACATCTAAATTTGTACCTTGAGTCTTTAAAATAGGTCTAGAATATTTTTATTAAACGTTCAGTTTGAAGAGTTTATGAGGATCCATTGATTCCTTAATTGTTCATACTTAATATTGAATTTGAAGTAACTTTCATCAGGTTCTAATTAAGCTTGTTTTACGAAAGTAATTTCCAATTACAATTCAATTTTTATCGTGGTGCGCGATGTATTCGTGGTGGTGATGAAAAAATGAGGATTTGTTTTTGCACACGAACCTTAAAAAAATCAAGCCGAGCGTCCAATAATAAAAAAATTCTTGGACGCTGGGTAATAGGCAAAAAACATTGGGAGTTACAGTAATAATATTTAAGCCACTATTAAAGGAATATTTCAGCAATATCATCAGCAAGTAAACTCACATGCCTTATATCTTATTTTTAGTTTGAAATATTCATTCTTACATGGACTCTGCTGATGTTCACATTAATGATCATTACATTAATGTATGGTCAATCATTCAGCTAACCCAATAATTTACTGCTTCTGAATGTCACCTTTATGTAGGGCAGTTTTTAAAAATTAGCATTGTGCAGGTAATCATTTAATATTTAATTTAGGCTACATTGTAGCATCTCTCTACCTACAGGTACATACTGTTGCTCTATATGTTTATTACAATAAGCCATTCCAGACTATCACAACATTCCTAAATATGGCCATTATGAAATCACATCATTATAATATTTAGGCACATTATGACTATATATGGGCATACAACAATTTTTTAGTACATGGGTGTAGAGTATTGAAAGAATGGGGGAACACATATTTTTAATGAGTACTTCCTTTATATATGTGGGTACATTTTGCTCTTTTTATATCTCCCAATTTATTTCAATGCAGAATATCAGAATTCAAATAATTGGCTTGTACTGAAGACTAATAAATAAAAATATCTATTGCAACCTCATTCAGTGCTCTCCAACAACTGAAGAAAATGGACCTTTTCAAAATGTCAATCAAACTGGACAACTGACAAATCAGAACAGGGCCAGGGATATTCACGTGTCCTGCAAGCACACGCACACGTTTACGTGCCTTTCATACAGTACAGTGTGTCATTTGCATTTATTGTAAAAATTGTTTTGAAATTATGTTATTTGATGCCATATAATTTTTACTAAAAGTTTCTGAGATCTTTAGAACTTGGTTTGGAAAGTTATCTTTGATGATGATAATGATTATGGTAAATGATGAAATGATAGATGGTAATGACCAGATATTGATTTATACTCCTAAGCTATACTAACATAAAAGTTAATTGGAAATTCGAAAAAATCATTTTACAGTAAGATTGCTACCTCTGCATAGAATATTGTTGGCTGAGGTGCTTGTACACCTTTGTGCCTGTGTTCTTCACACCCAGCCCAACAGATAAGTATATTTAATGTATAATGTGCAGAGTTTGTTTTAAGTTTGTAAAATAATTTCAAATGGCTTCTATGACAAAAAACAAAATGAATTGTAACTGCAATGATCCAATTTGCAAGAAATTTAAGTACCACGAATTATAGCTTCTGAAAAAACTTATTCTGGTGCTTAATATCAATGTTAAAAATGTACTAGTTTGCAGACACGCAGACAAAACTATGCCGTGTCTTTGATTTCTGTCTTATTAATATTTGATTTCCAAGTTGAAATGATGATAGGCTGAAATTGAAACAGAATTTAATCAGTCAATAATTTTACACTAGAGTATCATAATGTATGCTTTCTTATATTCCTGCTCTAACCTTTGAAAATGTGTTAATGTTTAATGCTTTAACTTACAATTTTTTAATTTTAAAATTGCAGAAATTCAGTTTTGTTACTATACTTCAATTATTTACAGTACACCTTTTTATATACTAAATTGAATGGTACCTCATGAACAAATGAATTACAGATATAAAGATTACATTTTTAACAGGAAAAATAATTCTATATACAGATGTGATCATTTGTTTGTCAATGTTTCTATTTGTTTTGAATGCATTTACATTGGTTGATGTTGTCACTCAACAACCAGAATTGGCTGGTCTCACATGATGAGAGAGTGACATAAAATAGAATTAAAAACCAATTTTAATTATTCTAAATTTCACTTAGATCAGGGAGATCACAGTATATAGAAAATGCCACATTGTTACATTGGTGTTATGAACAAGCAAGACTTTAATTAGTATAGGGGGTGGTATTTGACATTACATGACAGATCTTAAGAGAGTTTACATTTACAGTTGATATGAGTCAATACGTCTCCAATTTGATTTTATTAAGCAGTATAATAGTTGTCAAGAACTAAGTTACTGGTCTCAAAAATCAAAGTTGATGTTTGAATCTTTAATATCTGTTCTCTTATCAGTTAACCTCATTTCATGATTTTTAGACAAATCCTACTGTACATCAAATAATATAACAAATTTGATTCTGAAAATGTATTCAAGTAATAATACTGACGTAGTGGAGCACATATCAGTATTTCTCTTTGGTGCCTTATGTGTTTGCACTTTTACTGGTAACATATTGGTAATCATCATTCTGATTACAGACTCTAAGCTTCACAAGAAGCAAAATGCTTTCATCGGACTGTTATCGCTGGCGGACATGTCTTATAGCATCTCAAGCTTTTTGATAACTAACCAAACCGACAGTAAAAATGACTTTAATATAGTATGGTGCATTGTTGATGGAACACTGCTGACGTCTGTTTTGTCACTTGCTGCAATCGCGATTGATCGTTATATTGCTTTGATCTGGGCTCCATTTCGCTATAATATCATTGTTACTCCAAAGCGCTGTGTTACTGTTTGCCTTCTACTTGGATTTGGTCCAGTTGTATTGTTTTATATAATCTATAATTTTGATTACAACATTTCAAACTATATCATTATAGTCTGTGTATCTGTTACACTTACAATGAACACTTGCCTTTATCGGAACATCTATAAACAATTGCAACGGAAACAGGGAGACATTCCAGTAATGCAACAAGACTTAGAAGAATCTAAGAAGTTACTTAAGACATTCATAATTGTAGTTGGAATATTCATCATGACCTGGATTCCCTACATAATAATAACAGTTATCATTCAAATATTATTTAATTATGAGAAAGTAAGTTTTGATAGTTATTTATTGATAATGGTAAATGCATATGGATTAACTCTGCTAAATTCTTTAGCTAATCCAATAATTTATTGCTTCAGAATGCCCTCGTTTCGTAGGGCAGCTCTGAAACTTGTTTGTCATTAGAAATTTCAGAGTATAAGAGAAAAATTTTATAAATGGAGTTGGGTTACTTTTCCCAACATTTAGTTTTTGCTATACAAATAGTATTGTAATTTTAGTATTTAATGTTCACTTTATTCTATTATACGCCTGTATGCATTATTTTCCGGTGTATAATCTGCAAATTTCATATGTAATTTTGACCCGGAAATTCAAGGTGCTGTCTATACACTGGTAATCCACTTACTCTTAAAAAAATTCAGATCGTGAACAAAAATCAGACGCCGTCTGTCTAAGTGAGGGCCAAAGAATGCAAGCATGTCCAGTTGTTTGTTATTTAATAGTCGGCCTGTCAGGAAAAATTTGGTCCGGGGCAAAAATCGGTCCGGCACACTGATTTTGGCCTCATAATTACTTGCTAAATGAAGTCCACATAAGCCAAAATCAGTCCGCTGAAACTTACTTTGCTGCACAGCACACTTGGAAATATTACATCCGCAATAGATTTTGGCGGAAAAAAAACGACTCCTAAGCTTTTACAGATGTGCATACGCTACCTAGCCAATCACAATGTTGTCTTTAGGTGAAGCCTGAATTTGCATACATCACCCTATATAAGAGTTTAAGTTCGGAATGATCAGCACAGTATTTCGGTTTAGTTGATAGTAGAGCCTTCATGGTTAGTGAACATTGGAATAACAATAAGGGAAGACTAAGCTATGTACACTATCAATATATACTGTCTCTTATACACATCTAGATGTGTATAAGAGACAGGTTTGATACCGGTAACTAATATATCGTTATTAATATCATGATTATCATTAAAATGTTCAGCTATAGGAAGACCTGATGTGTTAAGGTTGATAGAGCGCAAATGTTCAACCAATAGAATGTTGAGTCTTCAACCCAGTATTGAGTGAAAATAATGAATAATAAAAAAATAACAAATAATATGAGACACGACCCATTGTCTATATTAGAACACTTCTCATTGGGTAACAAAGTCGTAATTTTTCAGTTTTGTCAAAAAGTGTCTATAGATAGTGGTGAATTATGGTTTAGGTTTTTTTTCATAAAGTTTCAAAAATTTCTATGTATGTGGAAAATGTAGTTGATTACCAAAGTTTACAATTTTTATTTTGAAGACTGCATGGTCTAGGAAGTGTACATTGTTTTATGGGGCAAGTTTCCAAGGGCGGGTATTCTAGGGGCGAGTTGACTGCCAAAGAGTGTTGCCAAAGTGCGAGCCAGCGTGTTATTTGATCACAAGTGTGAGACATCGCAAGTGTGAGCCAGCGAGCCATGACATCACGACAATAGATACGAGACGTTACTCGAGTTGTGCAAGGTATCGGCTGAGATTTGTGGAGTACAATTCAAAAAACAACTACAGTATAGGTCTAATAATGAATTATTGTGATGTTAAATAGACAATGTTAGCTATCAAGGAGCGACATTGTTTTTCATTGGGACCTTCGTCCCTTCAAGGCTAGGCCTATACCATCCTAGCTAGTCTAGGTCTAGAGTAGGATAAGGCTAGCGCGACATGCGGACGTTGGTACGTGTTGGTTAGTCTACAAACGTCGCCAAAAGAAATTGATTTTACCCGGCAGAACGAAAGAAGGAAACTCCGCAATTCAGTCGTCTTAGGCCCTTGTTTTTTGACAAACAATGACCTTTCAGAGGTCAAATTGCTGTCAAAAATATGAATTGGCTGCTTCGCAGCAATAATGGCATTGTTTTCCAAAAATAACCTCTGAGGCGTAATAGGCGACTGATTATTTCTTTTTCTTTTATTTTTCCTTCTTTTTAGAGACAGGACCAACTACCATCCTTTCTAAATCCACGCCTAATATATTTGGTAGAAAGAGAGAGAGGGTGGATGAACGTGAAAGGGGTTTTGAAATTTAACATGTACATTCGGCAACCAATCACAATCACAATGATGTCCATGGCTGAAGCCTTAATTTGCATACATCACCCTATATAAGTGTTTAAGATCACGATGTACAGTACAGTATTTGGCTTTAGTTGATAGTAGAGGCTTCTGAGTGGGTTCCCTGCACATTGCTTATGTTATTTCACGTTAATCTTATGTATCTTACATACTGTATATATCTTATCTATATTTTAATGGCATTTTCTGTACTGTTCTATTAAAATTACTATATTTATATATAAGGGGAGGCGATCAAAACATCACGTAAAAGGGTATTTTATTTCTATTATAAAGATTACATTTTTAATAGGAAAAATAATTCTATATACAGATGTGATCATTTGTTTGTCAATATTTCTATTTGTTTTGAATGCATTAATATTAATTGATGTTGTCACTCAAAAATCAGAATTGGCTGGTCTCACATGAGAGAGTGACATAAAATAGAATGAAAAACCAAGTTTAATTATTCTAAATTTCACTAATACATCAGAGAGATTTTAATTAGTATAGAGGGCAGTATTTGACATTACATGACAGATCCTTAAGAGAGTTTACATTTACAGTTGATATGAGTCAATACTTCTCCCATTTGACTTTATTTTAATACAATAAACCTTTTTATAACTAAATTGAATGGTACCTCATGAACAATTGAATTACAGATATAAAGATTACATTTTTAATAGGAAAAATAATTCTATATACAGATGTGATCATTTGTTTGTCAATGTTTCTATTTGTTTTGAATGCATTAATATTGGTCGATGTTGTCACTCAAAAATCAGAATTGGCTGGTCTCACATGAGAGAGTGACATAAAATAGAATGAAAAACCAAGTTTAATTATTCTAAATTTCACTTAGATCAGGGAGATTTTAATTAGTATAGAGGGCAGTATTTGACATTACATGACAGATCCTTAAGAGAGTTTACATTTACAGTTGATATGAGTCCATACTTCTCCCATTTGATTTTATTAAGCAATACAACAGATGTCAAAAAATAAGTTATTGGTCTCAAAAATCAAAGTTGATGTTTGAATCTTTAATATCTGTTCTTTTATCAGTTAATATCATTTCATGATTTTAGACCAATAAATCCTACCTCAAATAATATAAAAAATTTGATTATGAAAATGTTTTCAAGTAATATTACAGACGTAATGGATCACATATCAGAATTTCTTTTCGACTCCTTATGTGTTTGCACTTTTACTGGTAACATATTGGTAATCATCATTCTGATTACAGACTCTAAGCTTCATAAGAAGCAAAATGCTTTCATTGGACTGTTATCACTGGCGGACATGTCTTATAGTATCTCAAGTTTTTTGATAACCAAGACCCAATATGAGTTTGGTATATTATGGAGCATTGTAGATGGAACACTGCTAACGTCTGTTTTTGCACTTGCCGCAATCGCGATTGATCGTCATATTGCTTTGATCTGGGCTCCATTTCGCTATAATATCATTGTTACTCCAAAGCGCTGTGTTACTGTCTGCCTTCTACTTGGATTTGGTCCAGTTGTATTGTTTTATATAATCTATCATTTTAATGACATCATTCCAACCTATATCATTATAGTCTGTGTATCTGTTACACTTACAATGAACACTTGCCTTTATCGGAACATCTATAAACAATTGCAACGGAAACAGGGAGACATTCCAGTAATGCAACAAGACTTAGAAGAATCTAAGAAGTTACTTAAGACATTCATAATTATAGTTGGAATATTCATCATGACTTGGATTCCCTACATAATAATAACAGTTATCATTCAAATATTATTTAATTATGAGAAAGTAAGTTTTGAAAATTATTTATTAATAATTTTAAATGCATATGGATTAACTCTGCTAAATTCTTTAGCTAATCCAATAATTTATTGCTTCAGAATGCCCTCGTTTCGTAGGGCAGCTCTGAAACTTGTTTGTCATTAGAAATTTCAGAGTATAAGAGGAAAATTTTATAAAGTTTGGTTACTTTTCCCAACATTTAGTTTTTGTTATACAAATAGTATTGTAATGTTAGTATTTAATGTTTACTTTATTGTATTACACGCCTGTATGCATTATATTCCGGTGTATAAACTGCAAATTTCATATGTGATTTTGACCCGGAAATTCAGGGTGCTGTCTATACACTGGTTATCCACTTACAAAAATTTCAGATCGTGAACGAAAATCAGAAGCCGTCTGTCTAAGTGAGGGCCAAAGAATGCAAGCATGTCCAGTTGTTTGTTATTTAATAATCGGCCGATAAGCTGAAATTTCTTTATTTGAATATTTGTAAATAATGTTAATGTTTCAAAATACTGTAATTAAAACGCTAACATTTTTGGAAGTGTTTGGATTTGAAAAATAGGTGCGGCTTATAGTTATACACAGATGACTAAAAAAAGCACAATATTTCACGTCTTAATTAGGAGTCTGGCTACACAGGTGCGACTTACGGTATACATTGGAATATATGCTAATATGCCACTGATGTAAGAGGATGTCAGAGGGCCCTGAAACAAGCCTGAGAATGTGTCTATTATTTATTTGAAAATGTCTATTTCAACTGGATTATTTGGCTACTTTCTTGTATCATTATAAAGAAGAAATTGAGAAGATCCTAAATCAGAAATTCTTTTTGAAAAATTCAAGGTATTTTTTGCAATATTTGGTATACTTTGGGGCATTTTTCTAGGCTCCAACCAAGCTTTGAGGAGCATACTTCAAGCATTACTAAGGCAAGCCAACAAGCACTCTATTGACTCTTTGTTCAAACTGTTTATCAAATTAATTAGGGCCGGATAAGCTAGCCTCTGTCTTACATAATAGCTGAATAGTGAACAGGGAGTGACTGCTTTACCAAGCCAAATTGATTACCACCATGGTGAATTTTAAAATTGGCCTAGGATCTAACCAAGGAATTAGCACCAATAGCTCTTGTATGAACAGTTTCTATGTCTTTTCTGATGATGAAATCAATATCTGCATAAGAAATTATAACTTACAGGTATCAGAGTATCATAGAAATTACACCAGAAATGATGAATCTGTCAACCAAACTCAACAAAGAGAAACAAAGCCTACTTTTAAAACTACTGCAACCCAGACAATGACTTGTTCACTTGAGGACAGAATCTCAAATCTTGAATTCATTATAAATACGCTGGTTTCAAAACTACAAGGAAGTGCAATTTCATTTAACCCTCAAATAAACTCTACTGAAATAACTCAAGAATCTACTCCTTTGAGAGATGTGCCAAATATAAGCACATATAATCATTTTGAAGCTCTTGAAATTGAGGAAAACAACGACCTTACCATCAATGAGGACCAACCGCAAGTTAACACAGCTGTCCAAAACTTAAACACAAGCTATGCAAATGTACAACCTGAGTTTCATCCTACTGTAATCCCACATCAAGTATTCAACAAAGAAACTCTGATCATAGGTGATTCAATGTTAAAACATATAAAGACACGAGGACTATGGAATGCATCTGTGAAAACACTGCGGGGATACACAGTGCAACAAGTATCATCAGCACTGAAAGAACTAGATGTGAGCCAAGTAAAAAATGTGATTGTACATGCCGGAACAAATGATTGCAGCAACTTAAATTACAACAAAGAGGAACTAATGAAGGATTACAATGAACTTATTTCAAGCTTAAAACCCAGAATATCAGGAAAGGTGTTTTTGTCTGGAATCTGTCCCCGTCTTGATGACCCGCATATCAATGTGCGTGTACTGGAAACAAATGAAGAGCTCAAGTCAAGATACAAAGATGACTTCATTGACAACTCTAAAGCTTTCTTATGCAGATATGGTCTGGATGCTTCCAAATTTGTATATCATGGCCTTCATCTCAACAAATATGGAACCTTTGCTCTAATCAAAAGCCTAAATTCAAAAATTCAAATCATAAGGCCAAAAAGAAACAACCTTCAAGAATCATCATCAACTTACTGCTATTTTTGTGCAGAAAGTGGTCATACCCGTCGTGTATGTCACCATGGTCAGCCTGTAACCTGCTGGTCATGCAATTCAGTGGGACACAAGTCTAAATTCTGCGAGATACAACAATGAAAAGAAGGCGAGGAAGCTGATGCCGAATTGAAACTTAATGATAATGAGGAATCCTTCCACCTGGAAATGTTATTTACTTTGGACACTTTAAATACTAAGGACAAACACTCAACAAATATCAACGGAAAAAATGATGAGCTATCCAAAACTTCACTAAGTACTTCTAACATTTTTTCAGAAAACCATAAGATTTTTATGAACAAAGGGTTAAGTGTAATTGGACTTAATATTGTGACACTTCCGGGTAAATTTGATGAACTTAAACATCTTCTTTTAAACAATACAATAGATATAGTTGCTTTGAATGAAACCCGCCTAAATAATTCAATCACGGATAATATTCTAAACATTAATGGATATGATATTTACAGAAAAGATAGAAACAGAGAGGGAGGGGGAGTTGCCTTTTATGTAAATAATAATGGGGGTTTTACTCACTCTGTTAGATATGACCTAATGCACAATGAACTAGAAATGATTATACTTGAAATTAACAAACCCAAAAATAAGCCCATTTTGATTATAGCCTGGTACCGCCCTCCAAATTCAGAACTCAAGTTATTTGAATATGTCGAACATGTGCTTGAAAATATTGAATGTGGAAACAGAGAAATTATAATGATTGGTGATATGAATTGTGATATACTATCAGCCAATCCAACATGTTACACTCAAAGAATTAATGAAATTGCTAAAAATTTCCATTTAAAACAGTTAATTTCAGAACCGACAAGAATAACTAAAAATAGCAGAACTATCATTGTTCAAGTAATATTACAGACGTAATGGATCACATATCAGAATTTCTTTTCGACGCCTTATGTGTTTGCACTTTTACTGGTAACATATTGGTAATCATCATTCTGATTACAGACTCTAAGCTTCATAAGAAGCAAAATGCTTTCATCGGACTGTTATCACTGGCGGACATGTCTTATAGTATCTCAAGTTTTTTGATAACCAAGACCCAATATGAGTTCGGTATATTATGGAGCATTGTAGATGGAACACTGCTAACGTCTGTTTTTGCACTTACCGCAATCGCGATTGATCGTTATATTGCTTTGATCTGGGCTCCATTTCGCTATAATATCATTGTTACTCCAAAGCGCTGTGTTAGTGTCTGCCTTCTACTTGGATTTGGTCCAGTTGTATTGTTTTATATAATCTATAATTTTGATGACATCATTCCAACCTATATCATTATAGTCTGTGTATCTGTTACACTTACAATGAACACTTGCCTTTATCGAAACATCTATAAACAATTGCAAAGGAAACAGGGAGACATTCCAGTAATGCAACAAGACTTAGAAGAATCTAAGAAGTTACTTAAGACATTCATAATTGTAGTTGGAATATTCATCATGACCTGGATTCCCTACATAATAATAACAGATGTCTTTCAAATATTACATACTTATCAGAAAATAAGTCTTGATTGTTATTTATTGATACTGGTCAATGCATATGGATTAACTATGCTCAATTCTTTAGCTAATCCAATAATTTATTGCTTCAGAATGCCCTCATTTCGTAGGGCAGCTCTGAAACTTGTTTGTCATTAGAAATTTCAGAGTATAATATGAGGAAAATTACATAAATGAAGTTGGGTTTCTTTGCAGCCTGCCTTTATCAACATTTAGTTTTACTATACAAGTAGTATTGTAATGCTAGCATTTAATTTAAACAAAAATACTGTGATAGTATGTTTACGTTACTGTATTATACGCCTGTATATTCCGGTGTACAAGCTCCAAATTTCATATGTGTTTTTTACCCAGAAATTCGGGGTGCTGTCTATACACTGGTCATCTACTTACACTTAAAAAATTTCATATCGTGAACAGCAACGAAAATCAGACACTGTCTGTCTAAGTGAGGGCCAAAGAATGCAAGCATTTCCAGTTGTTTGTTATTTAATAATCAGCCGATAAGTTGAAATTTCTTTATTTGAATATTTGTAAATAATGTTAATGTTTCAAAATACTGTAATTAAAACGTTAACATTTTTGGAAGTGTTTGGAATTGAAAAATAGGTGCGGCTTATAGTTATACACAGATGACTAAAAAAAGCACAATATTTCGCGTAGGAGTGTGGCTACACAGGTGCGACTTACGGTATACATTGGAATGATGTATGGTAATGTGCCACTTTAGGCTTGCAAAATTTATTCGTATACCTTTGTAACATTACTGTGAATATGTGAACACTCAAATTAGCAAGAAATCTTAGTACTTTACTACAAAATATAGTATTGAGAAAATTGAGAATATTTCTGACTCCTACTTTATCAATACGTATATAGATAATAGCATGCAGATTTTATTGAATGTTAATGTTTCCAAGGATAAGGTATAGCTTAGAATCATGGAAATTTAGAGGGCGCTGTATATATTTTAATGACAAATCCAAAGAAATAGACTCAATCTTTGTTGGCATTGGCAGTGGATTTGATTGAGAGGGCCTACAATAGTCCATACCACATTTACTATAGTTTGTCTTATAAACAAGCAAGGCGTGGTTACTAATGTAGTAGGCACTATTTCACTTTAAATGACAGATATGAAGAAAGTTAATGAGAAACCTCAACTTCAATTACAATTTACTTTAAGTCAATAATTCTACAATTTGTTTTCATTAACCAGTATAATAGACATGTCAAACACATCAAAGTAAGTTTGTAGTATTATTAACAAATATTGTGTTCTAATTATCAATCCAGTTATGAACATTTCAGACAAGTAACTCCCACAGATAGTAAATCTAGTTAAAAAGATGGACGAATTGCTGTATTCAGTAAATGATTCAGACATTGTGTTGGACATCGCAATATATACATTTAGCACAATAAATGCTTTGACTATCTTAATGAATGTGTTGGTAATCATTGTTCTGATTACAGACGCTAAACTTCACAGGAAGCAAAACGCTTTCATTGGACTGTTATCGCTGGCGGACATGGCTTATAGCATCTCAACCATACTCGTAATTAACTTAACCCAGATAGATTCTGAGTATTTTTCTTTATTATGGAGTATTTCTGATGGAACACTGTTGACGTCTGTCTTGTCACTTGCTTCAATCGCAATTGATCGTTATATTGCTTTGATTTGGGCTCCACTTCGCTACAATGCCATTGTCACTCCAAAGCGTTGTGCTACCGTCTGCCTTTTACTTGGGGTTTGTCCAGTTGTCTTGTTTTATATTATCTATGCTTTCTTTAATGATACCCCAGTCAATATTATTATAGCCTGTATAACCTCTGTTATACTTATAATGAATACTTACCTTTACAGTAACATCTATAAACAATTACAACAGAAACAGGAAAGAATTCCAGTAACGCAACAAGACTTAGAAGAGTCCAAGAAGTTACTTAAGACATTCACAATTGTAGTTGGGATATTTATTATAACTTGGACTCCATTATTAAGTCTGACACTTAGCACTGGTATATTGTACAACTATAAAATAGTAAGTGGTAGAGCGTATATCTATGTAGTAATCATTACATATGCAATAAGCATGCTTAATTCGTTATCAAACCCAATAATTTACTGGTTCAGAATGCCTACATTCTGTAAGGCAGCTTTGAAACTTATCTGTCATTGAAATCATTAGAAAACGGTTCGCTACGGACATCTGGCTAAACTGGTGGTTTAAGTGTACTTACAATATAATAGATAATAAAACTAAAATTCACAGCGCATCTCATCTTAAGTCTAATCTGAGGCCTTTATCAGCTTTATAAGGCCATCCTTACAGCTCTTCATCATTCTTCCACTGAAGACGGTTTGATTATACTGTACTGTACTAACCAGAACGTTGGGACGATACAATCCGAATGGTTCTTCTCAGAAGCAAAATATCATCAAATGTGGTTAATTGTAGCATTTACCACATCGTATAGTGAAAACTTATAATTATTTATTAAACTATTATAAATATGTAATGTACAAATACATTTTGGTTTCATTGGTCAGTTCAGTTTATGAATTCACTTTGTTTTCTTCTTGCCTGTTTCTTGCCTATTTTACTTTTTGTTCTGTTCAATACTATGTGCTATAACTATATTAAATCCGATCCTAATATACATTACTGTAGGCCTACCTTTGCATTCATGATTGTCTACAAGATGACATTATGATAAATACTACAGCCTTTTTTTGGGCTTTTATTTGCAATGTGTTATTTTTAGCTTATTAATCAATCAGTCAATATTGAATGTGCATTATAAATTCCTATGCTGTTATTATGTGTTTAAAGTTAAAGTTTATAGGGATTAAAGTAATTGAATATGTAAATAAAATTAGTGTTGAAACAAAGACAAATTGTTGTAAAATAATCACGGACAAATGAAAGGAATTATGCTATCAAAAATTACTACATTCTCACTTTGATGGATAAGAGAACAAGAATATTTTCTTTCTTTATTCAAATTTATTACATCTCATCATGTACATCACAAAACAGAAAAATCTATTCACAAGAAAACAAATGCAAAAGGATGGGAATCCACAGACTCGAAGTCTAAACTAAGGGAGACGTCCTGAATGAAAAAAAAAAATCAATTACATCAAAAATACACATATAAATTTATAGTACTATAAAAGTTTTTAAAATACTTGAAATAATTTAAATATATAAAAATATCAAAAAAAAAGGTAAAAACAGCAAGACATCATCATCAAATTGAAAGAGAAAAAGTTCAGTCCATGTGACGCCTCTGACAATAGCAAAAAGCACAGAACACTCAATCATATTGTTTTGCAGTGCACACATTCCAGCAAACACCAAAACAAATTTTTGTTGATATAATTATTACTATTTATTTACACATCGGTGACTGCTACGC